AAAGGACTAATCAAGGAGTTCTTGTTACCAAAGTAACTCTGCTACTAAAAGAGTTCTATTGCTAAAAAGGCTATTGTTACTAAAATAGTTTTGCTGCTAAAAGAGGATAAAGTTAGGTTTCTCAGACAAAGGGTTTATTTTACTATGCATGCTATTTGGCCCTCACAAATGTGTCTACCTCTCACTTATCATACCTTGAGAACTATAATTTTCCCCTTTCAGAATAAAGGTTGTCATTTCCCACGAATGGAACATGACACATGAAAATTCTACTTCTTCACTAAATTGTGATTAAAATTCAAATTCAGTGGAAAATAGTCATTTTTAGGGAAATTCGGTACCCAAATCGTTGTAGGATGTTTGATTCTAGTAGATCTCAAAAAAAAAATACCTGAATTAAAAAAAATGCATCAAACGGGCAATCGAGGGCAAAGTTATGGGCGTTCAAAGTTTTGCCACATCTTTATGCTTTTCTCATACTCCACTATTGCCAATGACCAGCTAGGCACCCTCGCACCTTGTGCCAATGTCTGTTTCCTCGCACCATCGCTCACGTCCTCACACCAGCGTCCAATACCTTACACCAGCATCGGTGTCCTCGTGCCATAGCCCATGCCCTCGCGATGCGGCAACTCCATCGCTCGCACACCCTTGCACTTAACGCCAGCAACGAGGCGCCCTCGGGTTAGTGCTAGCGCACATGCCCTCGTGCTAGTGCACTATACCTTCGCCCTCGCTCTCTCCCTCTACTTCTCACCTCCTACACTTTCTTGCCCATACTCGGCCTACTAAAAAAGATACCCATGAATTTTTACTAATGCCTTATCCCCAAGTTCCATTGGACTCTGGGAATAGGGGACAAATAATTACCCGAAGTAGATTAGGCCCAGAATTACATACTAGGCCCGAACCACGAATGTAGACCAACAATGGCCTAGTTACAGTTTTAGTTGGGCCAAAGCCCATCTTCTTAAGAAACCTAGTCCGTCACTAGCCCACGTGGGAGTTTCCATCCCAGAGGAGGGAATCGATAGGGACGCAGTCATTAGGGGCACATCACTAGTCTGCAATATCATCAAACCTGTTACGAGGTAGGGCGAGCTTCAAAGAATCACCCTGCTATCACCTCCCCCGTTATGAGGATAAGGCGAGTTTCACGGAATCACCACGCTCCCTATTACGAGGATGGTGCCTCCGTCAAAACCCCTTAGAGCCAACTTCACTTGACTACAAATTTTAAGCTCCGTCTATACATGGGGGGAACATACACATTTACCACACTACACCTCTAAAGTAATAAGATTATTCGGCCACCGTTACCATTTTCAGTGGAGTAGGTCTCATAGACCGAACTACCTAATCTTTATGTTTACTTGTGTTGAGCCATCTTTATTTCATCCTTGATTAATTTTACATAAAATCATTTTTGTGCACCATCAAAACTTATCTACTCCCAATGGATTCTAGCAGCAACCTATCAAACCTTATTCCAATTTCAATATTGTTCACCAGAGGCAAGGAAGGTACTGACATTTTGAACGAATAACAGATTTTGTTTTGAACAATACTACATGGACTTAAAAATTAGACTTAAAAAATAGATTTGATAATTACAACAATTGATTTTATTGTAGGTCTCAGCATTTATAGGGATCGGCTATCTATTCAATGGTTGTAATTATCAAGTTTACTTTTTAAATCTAGTTTTTAAGTTAATGTAGCATTACTCTTTTGTTTTTGCTCATGTGGTTGAATAAACACCTTATTTGCTTTTTTTCTGTAAAATTACCGAGGAACTCATCCCATTGACTGTGAATTTAGCTTCTTGGGGTTCCTTCGCCATTTCAAGCTCCTATGGTGGTCTTCTACTTCTACCCCAATATTTTCAAGGGTTTGAAGTGCGGTATCAGAAAAATTGGTGGACCCCTTTGGGATCTTTAACTCTAGCTCTAGGCTTACTTCATAAACTCTCCTCCTTCAGCCTATGACTTTGGTTCTTGTGGCCATTCCTATGCCCTTGCACTTTGAAAGATTCAAAGTTTTTTCTAATTTGTTTACCTTTATTTTTTTTATCAAGCCACAACACGGCCTACCATGATGCCATTTCCCTGCCTTAAGGGACCTGAATGGTTCTTTAATGTGATTGATAAGGCACCTCTTGACATGTTCCAGTACCATGAGTATCTTTGACATTCCTATCTGTGGCCCAATGATATTCATTTTGGGTGAGTTCTTCCTCCTGGAGCCAATAATCTTTGCAAGGTTGAGCTTTATTTGCCCAATCAGTGCCCCTGCCAATTCAGACTTGTACAGAACATCCCTACGCCATATTCCAAAAGTTTTAGTGACAACTTCATCGATTGAGCCCTCTTGACTGACCCAAAACATATTAGTGAAGTTTCTCTTCACTTTTTTTTTTTGGAAAGGGGGAGGGGAAGGTAGAATGAGGCTTGAACCTTGATGTCGAGAAGACAAAGTTTTAGAGTACCCTTTTATCCAAAGACTTGAACCCCATTAGAAAGACTAGCACCATGTATTTCATATTAGTCACTTCAGAGCAATTTATACCATCATTGTCGCCTTTTACACCTTGTGGACTCGTTATGTCAGTAAGCTGTATGACACTGTTCTTGTCAATGTGTTGTAAATGTCATGACACTCTTCTCAAATTGGCACCCTTAACTTTCCCTTCTAAGGTTATCCCCTCTTCTCGGTCAGTTCCTTTTAGGGCAACCACAAAGCAAAGATCTCCTCCAGATCAACCTCGTCGTTGCCGAACATCCAAGCCAAGTTAGTCGACATTCGTTGCTGTTGATATTGCTTCTTCCCTGGACCTGGGCTTTGACCTATACCCAGACCCAGACCCAGACCCAACTCGACCAAACGCCAGACTTGAACACCGAACCTGACTCAGACCTGCAGTCGACCCTAGACTCAACCTCAACCCTAGACCTAGTCTTAGCACCATACCCAAACTTAAAGCGAACTCAGAGTTGGCCCTAGATCTTTCTTGCACCAACCCTCGGTCCCAACCTTGACCTGCACCCTGGACGTAAGTATTGTTTGGACACATTGCCTTATTGGCATGAGCAATACTATATGGACTTAAAAAATAGATTTAAAAACTAGACATATAATCTCAACCATTGATTTCACTGTAGGTCCCAGCATTTATTAGGACCCACTACCTATTCAATAGTTGAAATTATTAAGTCTAATTTTTAAGTTTAGTTTTTAAGTTCATCTATCATTACTCTATTGGGATAGATCAAATCTTAACCCCAAATGAACATGCAAAAACACATCTAGTATGCACATGTGCACCTATATTAGGACCATATAGTTAAAAAAGTGACTGTTATAGTATGTAATGGTATCGGAGGTCACCAATACTGTTACACCCTTACACTCTGTTATAAAGATCGAAAGTTTTTCATGCCTATAATAACTTTGCTGACGTTGATAAATCCTCACCATGCAAAATGAATTGGAGGATAGTCCAATTATTTTGTTACTGGAAAGGAGCCAAACCCATGTATATTTGTTCTTATATATGAATTTGTCATATTATGAACTAATTTAAATGTGATGAGTTCTAGATCATAGTAAAAATCATTAGGAAGTATTAAAAAACTCTTGTTTACATGATTTTACAGTTAAAGCATGAGTGATGTTATGAATTAGGTAAGGTGAAGAATGGAAAAATAAAATTCATGCCTCGTTTACCATTTTGTTACGTAACGTCTGTCATAGCGTAAATAGTTATCATTATTTGCGACCATTATCACATGCTCTTGAATAATATATATTTCTTATTTTCGAAATACTTTTGTCATTGGGTGCACATTATTTTCTGCTTTACTGACAGAATTGTGATCTAGTACTCTAAACCCTAAATTTATCAGCAACAAATTTTTTTTTGGTCATTCAGTTGCTTTCTACATCAGGGATGAGCTGTTTTTACACCCTAAACAACCAGCTAGTTAAATGGTGCATCAAAGTGATGCTGACCATCTGGCCCTCCTGGTGAGACTTTATCAGAACCGACATTAAGAGACCACCTTTGATAATTCTCGACTTCCATGGGACTAAATCCCAACTTGCTCATAAGAAGGTGTTGGCTACCAATATCCTTCCTGGTGGCTCGAAGCCCCCAAAGAACACGAGCCCCCGAAGGGATGAGGAGAGAGAAAATGGAGAGCAACAGAACAAGCAGTACCAATGCAGCAATTGATTTAGCCATGGAGTGAAAGAGGAATAACACCAGAAATAATTTAGTGCTTGCATGGTAACAATTAGCCCTATTTATAGGACCCTATTGGAAGAAAGAGAGGCCGGTGGTAGTGGAGAGAACATGTATGTTTGGATTTGCACAAATAAACCGACAAAATTCTAGCTCAGATTGTTCGTGTGATTCATGGTTGTCTAGTATATCAAACAACTTTATAATTCTTTTAACAAATCCTGCATTCCCCATTAGCTTGCCTTTCAAGTTTCAAACTAGTGTTACAGAAATCTATTTTACACACACAATGTGTGTGCGTGTACATATATTTATATGTATACACATTCATTCTATTACGATTTGTTGCTGATTTTGGAACTGTCGCTTAGATTTTAAAATATAGTAAATGACCTTCATTATAGAAGATTTCGATCAACACATATATCAAGTTCTCCAAAATGCTTAGTCTTTTCAAGGATTACTAGGATAACATCACTTTTCTCTTATGAAATTTCAAATCGTCTCATCCCATATATGTTTTTTTTTCTCTTTCCGGAAAGTAAAGTGATTTCAATTGCTTGTAGTAATTCAATATGAACAATTTGATGTAGGGATCATGCCCTTTCCAAAAGAGTATAAGAAAGCTTTTCAGTATATTTAATGATTAAAATGTTACATCTTTGCAATATATATGCTAATACAAGATAAGAAGATTAGTTTACAAATAACCTTATCATGAAATTTAAGATAACTAGATTACAAATAAAACAAATAGATCTTATTAGACTTATCTAGAAGTTGTAATGCTAGTCTTCATGCTTATCAGGTAGAGAAGAGTTGGAGCTGGANATGCTTATCAGGTAGAGAAGAGTTGGAGCTGGAGTGTATCTATGTGGCTCCATTAACATTCCCCCGCAAGCTGATAGGGGGAGGTAGAACCATCATCTTTTCACGAATCAAGGAAAAATGAATAGATGTGAGTCCCTTAGTGAACAAATAGGCCAGTTGATCATGGGTATGTAAATATTTGACAACAACATCACCATTGACAACCTTTTCTCTAATAAAGTAAAAATCAACTTCAACATGCTTAGTTCGAGCATGAAGGCAAGATTAGAGGCTAAAGAAATAGCACTGGCATTGTCACACCATAAGATAGGCTGAGAGGAAAGAGGAATCCAAAGTTCTTGAAATAGCATACGCAACCAATAAAATTCTACTGTGGTGAGAGACAAAGAGTGATACTCAAATTTGGTACTTGAACGGGAGACAACACTTTGTTTCTAAGCAGACCAAGAAACCAAGTAGGAGCCAAACAATACACCATTGCCAGAGGTGGAGCGATGATCATTGGGGCTTCTAGCCCAATTTGAGTCACAGTAGGCTTGAATATGAAAATCTTTTTTGACAAACCAAAGACCATGATTAATTGTACCCTTCAGATAGCGCAAAACTCGTTTTGCTTCTATCCAATGAGCAATAGTTGGATGATGCATATCTTAACAAAGTTAATTCACGGAATGGGAAATGTCTGGCCTAGTGAGGGTACAGTATTGCAAAGCACCAACAATTTGACAATATCCCTTAGCATCATCATCATCAGATAGGGGATTTCCATCAAAACTAGACAACTTAGAGCTGAGAATATATGGTGAAGCAATCGTCTTAGCACCAATCATATGGGCACGGTGTAAAACATCACCAATATATTTTGACTATCGCAAATGAAGACCAGTTAAATACCGAGAAAAAAATGTAGGAGGCCTAGATCCTTGAGACGAAATTCTTGTTGAAGAGTGGTGATGATAGAGGAAATCATAGTTGAATGAATGCATGTAATTAAAATATCATCAACATAAACCAAAATAAAAATAAAAATATGAACATCATTTTGGTGAAGAATAAATATCAAGGAATCAATAGAAGAAGAGATGAAGCCTAATTCCAATAATGAACCCATTAGATCATTAACACTGAAATGAATTGGGAAAGCCATTGGAGATAGTTCTCTCCATCGAGCTTAATTGAAATGAGTTGCCCAATATTGGGGGCAATGAAGGCAAGTGCGGAAGTAGTATCAGTTGAGAGAGCCATTGAAGAGGTGCAAGAATCAATGATAAGTTGTNGGAAGTAGTATCAGTTGAGAGAGCCATTGAAGAGGTGCAAGAATCAATGATAAGCTGCTGGCTTAAATGGCTCTGATAGCATGAAAGAGTATAAGAAAGCTTTCTGTATATTTAATGATCAAAATGTTAAATCTCTGCAGTATATATGTTGATACAAGATAAGAAGATTAGTTTAAAAATAACGTTATCATGAAGTTTAGGATAACTAGATTACAAATAAAACAATAGATCTTATCAGGAAGTTGTAATGCTAGTCTTCATGAATATTAGGTAGACAAGAGTTGGAACTGGAGGGTATCTTTGTGGTTTCATTAACACTTTCATATGTAGTAGGTCTTACCTATTAACTACAAAAAGAACGCAACAATATAACCTTCTAGCCCTAATAAAGTAGAACTAGTCATTACTTAAGCCTAAAAGCACTATATAGCACATAAAAAAATAGCAAGTAATTGTCCAACTTAAAAAAAAATGGGCCAAAAACATTCATACCAATTTGTTTTTAAATAATTCGAAATATATTATCGATCATATCCTCCATATTAACAAAATTATCACAAAAATATATAAAACAAACTCCCCAAAACAATATCACATACACAAATACCTCAGGAAAAAAAACAAATACTAAGGAAATGTAATTAAATTTATAATTTTTAAGTAATAAATAAAATTTTGCTCATTTATAAGACGTATGGATTTATCACCAGTCAACCTAATAATACAACATAATTATAACCCTCAAGCTCTTATTATTTTTTTTATTGGTGATTAGTTTGGTTTTGAATTTTTTTATTTTTTTGGTACAATTAGTATCACTTGCTATTTTTTTTTATTGATGATCAACTTGACTTTGATTTTGTTTTTTTTGGTGTAATTGTTTCACTTGTTTTTTATTGGAGATTACTTAGCTTTGAATTTTTATTTATATTTTTTTTTTGTTTTTTTTGGTGCAACTTGGTTTTGAATGTTTACAACTTAAAAAAAAAAATTTAGCATTCAAATATTTTTTCATTCTATAAAATTACTAAAATATTTGGCTTTGTTATATTTTCATTGGTGATTAGCTTGGGTTTGAGTGTCTACAATTTGGGAAAAAATTTTATACTTGGTTTTGAATATTTTTTTTTGTGCAATTGGTATCACTTGTTATTTTTTTATTGGTGATTAGTTTGGCTTTGAATTTTTTTTTTTTAATTTTTATGATTAGTTTGATTTTGAATGTTTACAACTTGGGAAATNTTTGAATTTTTTTTTTTTAATTTTTATGATTAGTTTGATTTTGAATGTTTACAACTTGGGAAATTTTTTTTAACATTTAAATATTTTCTCATCTATAAAATCATACTAATATATGAGTAAACAAGTATCGAAAATAGCAATACCATATTTAACACAAAACATTTAAGAATAATAAAATCATGTCAAAACTACAAACTTTAAATAAAGAAGTACTGAAAATAACAATGCACATAATTCACATTTAACACATAACATTCACTCACAAAAGTGATTAAATAAGATAGAGAGAGTATCTCTAGGAAAAAGATAGAGTCATATGAGAGATGAAAAAGTGTGCTTTGGAGACTGTTTAAAACGTCTAAAAGATAGGCTATATATATGTATGTGTATATATATATAGTGTGTATTTAAAAGAGATATGAGATAGAGAGAGAGTTAGGTGTATGAGATAGAGAGAGAAAGAGTTATATGAGAGATATGAGACTTAGAGTTGTAAAAAGAATGAAAGTTTAATTGGAATTGTAGAATCAATAATCATCAAACTATATGAGCCGCAAAAAACTCAAGATAAACAATCTAGTTATTTTATTATATAGATTCTCAGGAAATTAATTTTTATGTTTCCCATCGTTTTAGAACTAGAAAATTTATTTGGTCGACAAGATAAAGGTCTGGAAGTCCTTATCCTACGCATTGCACTTGATGCTGACTACTTAATGCATACAACTTTTGACAACCTTGTTATTCAGATATTTTCTTTTCTTCTCATTTGACAATTGATTTGAGGCAACTGAGGTCCCGTCTGGTTTCANAGCCTTGTCATTCAGATATTTTCTTTTCTTCTCATTTGACAATTGATTTGAGGCAACTGAGGTCCCATCTGGTTTCAAACATCCACTGTGTGTTGTTCATTCACACTTCTATGAATGATTTAANAACCTTGTTATTCAGATATTTTCTTTTCTTCTCATTTGACAATTGATTTGAGGCAACTGAGGTCCCGTCTGGTTTCAAACATCCACTGTGTGTTGTTCATTCACACTTCTATGAATGATTTAAATCACAAAAGAGGTGACATCCAATTGCACTAGTCGATTGCTTTCCTCAATTTTCGAGCGTTTTCATATCTTTCACTTCAAAACCCACATTTCCTCAACCACAAAACAAGGGTAACCTTATTGGACATATGATAAGATCTATCGAGATTTATCAATATCCATATATTTCGGACAAGGATGAGTGATGGTGATAAGCATGAGTAAAAAGACCACATGTGATGTATCATTTTTTGTTGATGGTATATAAGAAACTCAACTCTCCTATAGGTTGAGAAAGACATAAGATAGGGAAAAGAAGGAAGGGAAAGATGAGACACCAAGTCAAACTTCAAACAATTCAAATGTTGGTGCATCATCTAGAGAGGAGAATAGAAGGAAACTTCAATATAGCCTCTAACATATGAAGGATTCTTGTGTAAAGTTAGAGACTTCTAGCTCCTTTAAGCAAATGATGTCCAATCCACCTCCTATGACTAAGAAGAAAGATCAAACAAACACTTCTATATGGAGACAAACCTTTTTAGTAGTTTTACGTAATCTCTCAAGTTGTGAGAGAATTTGATGTTTTTTGCTTAGATCATGATGTTCTTGT